ATATATATATATATATATAAATATAATTATCGATTATTTTGTACATTTCTTAATACGGTGAATTGTTATAAAATGTTTGGAAATATTTTTTTCTAACTCGGTGAAAATGCGATGCCTTTAGTCTGAATAGCTTTCCGAAGTACGTAACAGATGACGTACTTTTTAATGCGTCATTCGGCTTTTGTTTTTAATATCGTAATAATAAAAGGAGATGACACAAAATAGTGAACATTGCAGTGACTGCTGCACGGGGTTCAATGTTTATAGTTATTTCTGACCTAACGGGTTCTTTCTCAAGCTTGACGCTAAAAATTTTTTATTTTTAGGAAAACGGTCGATACAATTAGCGGCAACTTGATTTGTATTATGTCGTCATAAAGCACTGCTCATTTGGACTGCGACAGGATTACGGTGGAAACTCGATGAAACCTCGTTTCTCAGACTAATTAAATGTGATCACAGAGGGAATTGTTACCAGTCAGAAGAACCGTGTGTGCGTCTTGGTTTATGAAAGATATTGAGCCGCATAAATAATCAATCAATCAATCATTGCTTCCATATTTCTAGTCCTGTGCATTACCTGGTTTCCGTTCAGTCGTGTGCTGCTAAGACGCCATTAGTTTAACACTGATGTTATGAAATGCCGCGACTTCGCTGCGAGAGTGGGTACAGCGCTTTTGATTTACATACTCAAGAGATGTAAAAGCTGTGATTCTGTCCATCATAAATTTCAGCGTGGGCGTCGTTAGTTTGTGCGCGTTGTAAGGACGTGCTGTTAAGTTACGGCCGTTTTGCAGATTTATTCTCTTGTGTAAGTGATCGATTTCAGATCGTCGCTCTTAACTTACCGATACCTAGTCGCGCTGTACATATCCTGGTAAACATTACTTGTACAGATGCATATACAGGGTGTTCACGAAAGGAATATTTTATTTTTATGTTTCCTTGAAGGTCCACGTGTTCTGATGTTGCTACTCGTGATTAAATTAACGCTGTGAGTTTACTTGTTATTAATTATTTGTTAATACGGTGCTATAAACCAGTGGTATTCAACCGGGGGTACGCGAAGACATCTTAGGGGTACGTGAAATTTAAAAAAAATATATTATTTTATGATGAACACTGAATAATCAGTAATGTAATTTATTTTATTTATTTTAGATGTAGATTATATATTATGTATAACTTGAATTATACACCAACAACTTTGGGGGTACAAAGTTGAAGAGAAATTATACCTGGGGATACGCGAAGACATATTAGGGCGGTACGTGAAATTTAAAAATATATATATTATTTTACGATAAACACTGAATAATCAGTAATGTAATTTATTTAATTTATTTTAGATGTAGATTATATACTATGTATAACTTGAATTATACACCAACAACTTTGGGGGTACAAAGTTGAAGAGAAATTATATCTGGGAGTACGCGAACAAAAAAAGGTTGAATACCAGTGCTATAAACTACAGAACACATGATATTTATTGTCAATAATAATTCAACGGTTAGTCATTTCGTGAAGACTTATAGAATCCCTGTGTAAACCAGTTGGAAAATACAGAAACAGCAAAATATTCTCCTTGTCTGGTACAAATTTCTTTTTACGTATTAACATTTAGGTGTGTGTGTATTATATAAAGTGCAATTACTGTGAATGAATCCTCGTGTCAAAGATACTTGGAACTTGGACGAGAATTCTTCATTAGAAGCAGATTGTGTCTCAGGTGGTCCATGCTGGTATGCTACAATGAATCTGTCTGATTGCCTACAGTCGTTAAGGGATGATCTGATGTAATTTGTATCGGGGTAGGTCTGCAGTGCCGGGCTCGTGTGAATGCAGTAATGAACTTTAAGATGCCATAAGAGACTATAGTTTATTGATTAGCTGAGCGATCGCTTGTACTCTTTTTTTATAGAGCCAGAGGAAGTTTTAAGAATGGGTTGAAAATTTCAGATGAGGCTTCCCTGCGTTGTTAGGTGGTCGTAGCCTGTTAGATGTCTTGAGGTTATGGAGCATGTCAATTGGCGTATCCGGGGCAACTGGAAAGTTATAACCAATAAAAATGCATCTGAAATTATCATTATGAACTGAAACGATTAGTCCAAAATGACACATATTGTAGTTTTACAAATTTTATGAATCTTTAAACTGTTTTTATTGTGCGCAGACTAAAAATATTTTATTGATTTATCATAAAATTGCATTTAGCTTTTTTACTTAAAACTCAAAGCGCTACCTAAAGTACATAAATAAGCTAGTCGTTCTAATATTACGAATTGGATGCAAGTGTTTTGAATACAGAAGGCTTAAGTATTAATTACGCTATAAAATTTCCCTTCGTGAACGATATAAAAATCTATAGTAAACACACATAGTCATAAATATTATCCCATCAAGGTATCGGGCGCATTCATAAATATTTATTAACCGACAAGACCCAGAATTCCTTGACAGCAAATCATCACCAAGCGACCAATCAAGCTACTAACTAACGCTTACCTACTATACAGAATGTTTCAAAAATATGTATACAAATAACCATTACATATGTCAGCATTGTGTATATATCTTTTTGGAGCACCCAGTTTAGATAGAATGATTCGTTTACCAAATATATATGAATCGAAACAAGGGGCTTTGTCTCTATGTGGATAACGCGACACCGAGTTACGAGGTGCGATCGGAAAGTTTCAAGACTGTGTCAATAGAGGGCGAACCGGATGTAGTACGAGCTTCTGCCGCTAAGGGGTGCGGCCTACATTCATAGTGAATCAGTGTGCCAGCCGGCATCATCGAATTAGCATTTGTTTCTTAGTTACGGGCGTTTTGGTAGTGCATTACACCGACCCTCCTGCGATTTCGGAATGGCGTGTGCATCAAATTTTGCCAAAGACTCGCCAAAACGGCTACGGAAACCTATGAAATGCTAAAGCAAGCATTTGGGGAGTCCGCAATGGGTCGTGCACAAACTTTTGTGTGGCATTCACGTTTTAAAAATGGCCGAACCTCTGTCGATGATGACGAGCGTTCGTATGTTCCAAGCGTTTCTAGTTGGTACAAGTTTCTGCAATTGTATCTCTTGAAAGTTTCATCAAAAAAGAAACGAAAGCAATACTAGGCCCGCTGACTCTCAGCCACTTACACTGTCACAGCGATTTAATGATCTCAGCACCTGCCCGACTGTGACGTAGGAAGCCCCAGTTAAAGCCTAACAGTTTTTAATTTCATATCCAAACGTCGAAGAGTTCATTCGCATTCTTTTAGCGGTCCACGCACATACCAGTATGTCTACACATGGTATGTGTTTCGCTAACAAGCAGATCAGCTCTTAACTGGTCTTGCAAACACGTGACTGTCGGTCAGTGCTGTCTCGAGGCTGATTGGAGGAATCATAAAATTACGGTTTGACCATAGTATTCAGTCACATAAAGTACGAAGGGCGATCATTGTAAGTCGGATGCTAAGAAATGTTGTTTCTAGCAGTGACCACCAACTAACATAGACTCTTGAGCTCTTAGCTGAAAGACACAACATAAATGTTATGCTAATCGCCTCAGAGATAGCTGTAATTTATGACGAATTTTAAGTAAGAATCTAATTAACAGTTTCGAAAATGAAAATTACACGGTATAGGAGGAAATGTTATAGCAATGATGTAGAAATATTGGACACGTGTGTTATTATTTATTTAAATTAATGTATACTGTTACATATCCCTGTGGCGGACTCAGTGCATCTTACGAACGGATAGTGTTTTCAGATATCAACTAATATGCATGCAGCTATTATACGAGCTTGTTTATGATCTAGTTTTGTATGGCTGGAATCATTCACTGTCAGCAGAGAACTAGTCATATCATGTACTGCAGAATAACAGCAGGTTCAGTGCGTAGAAAAACACTTAAACCATGTCGGCATACTTTCCCCTCCACGTGGTAAGCCCACCGAAAATAAAATTTCTTGTTGAGATTTCGTGTTCTCAGATCGGCGACTATTAAAGTGTGACCGTCTTCTCGGATATTGCGCCGTGTAGTCTGGTGAAAGTTTAACGACGTTTCGGAGGGTTTTTTTAACGCCATCATCAGGGCGATGAGTAAGCAGCGAGCAGTACATTTGGATGCAACTTAGATGTAATGGGTTGATACTGAAACGCACTTCCTTTACACCGACTGCCTTGATTTTCTCATAACTTTTTGTATTCCTGTTCTTAAGTTAATTTCTTATTTTCAGATGATGTGTGCCATTGCTGAATAACGGTCCAGAGGAAGCTAGACACATCTCTGTGAGTACAGTCCTTCCAGAAATATAAAATATTTGTCTCCCAATCGAGATATGTACACAATACTGCAATGGACTGCTGGAGAAATTAAAAGGAAATTAGAAAGTAATATAATTTGAGTCATACATAGAGTATAACATGTAATACTGTAAGTACCAATGCGTGTAGTAAACTAATTTGTGTCTGAAGCTGAAATATATTCAGTTGCCTTGCGATTCCGCCATATGTAAGCAAGATTTTGACCACGGACACAGGATGTCAAGAACTAGACGACGTTTCACCCCACGATCAAGTCTCAGTGAGGCTTGGGCCTTAGTGGTTCAGTGGGTGTCGGTATTACCGATTATCAAATGTCTACTGGCCTGCTAAGTCCCAAGTTACTCTGAGAACTACCGCCAGATGTCAGCGAAGATGGACTACGTACTTCAGGGACTTAATGAGAATGTGATCTAGTAGATGAGAAATATAATTTGGAATGTGACTGTGATTATGTGAGGAAAATTAACACGTATGTTTACAGATCCTAGCCGAGGACATTGTTGATAGTCCAAATAAATTAAACTTGTTGTTGTCTGAAAAAGAGACGCGCCATCTTGAAGTTACAACCAATTAACTTCAAGGGACAGGAATTCTTAACAAACTGAAGTCGCTCAGCCGATCGGTAAAGTTCTTGCTTGTCACCGCGTTCACAACTACTGAGTCGGTCAAATCCAATCCAACGATCCATCATTCCATACGTCTTTCAGATTCTGCGTTATATAATTTTCTCATCTGTTATTCAGATCTTCAACCTGCTGGAAAATCAGATATAAGATTTCTTTGTTCTATGAAGGTAGGCGACGTATTTCGTTATTTCGACAATAAGAGATACCAGATTCTATTTTAAACATTCTTCGTGTATTCATTCGCCAGTTTAATATAAAAAAAAACCCACTGGGTTTATACTTCTCCCACCAGATGGCAGAGGAGATGCATGGATGATGCTATAAAAACAGCAAGTTTAATAATTAATATTTTAGTTTTATCATGAATCACGTTATTATTTTAGTTTCAAACAATACTTTCCTAATCTGATGTTTAACTGAAACTTAAAGTATTCATATTACTGTGTTGGAAGGCATGCCATAATGAAATTGTGCCAAATATGGGTTCCCATAACCCCTTCAGCATTAGACAATCTCTATTACCTGCAGATTTTTTTTAAAGAGAATAAACTCTTATTCTTTACCTCTTGACTTTTGATTGTATACGCTGCTTTGTTAGACTTCTCAATAACGTTTTTTTTTTAAATATTCCTTTATATTTTACCGTCATTCTTAACGGGCAGTGTGCTAGTATCCTGTAACTTGAGTAAACGATGTTAATTTTGAAGGAATATGTGCAAATATTGTATTATCATACCTAATTATCGGAGACCGTACTTGAATGCATCGTATTCACAATTGGCTGGCTCAGAATAATGAAATTAGTAATTTAATATTACTATAATTATGTATTAATCAGATCGTACTATGCAATGTTCATGGAATAATCCGAAGCTCGTCTAAATAATACATATTTCAGTCCGTACCGCAAAGAGAACACCACACTTTATCATCACAGGAGATCAGCTGGTTAACGCTGTTTAAGGAAATTTTCACTGATTACACAATGAGAATTGTGCGAAATTCAACAGAAAAAATACAGTGTTAGTGTTTTTTTAAAGCGGGCAGTTCATATAGTTACCACTATCTTTAAAATGGTTAAGTCGGACAACACAATCAATCTGCCCTCTTTACGTAAATAGTATTAACCACAAAAGTTACGCGTAGTCAGTGTTTTGTTAAATTTATAAAGTCCGCAGATGCAGGACTTATATTTAATTCCTAGTTAAAAAAACTACACTACGAAAAATTGTAAAAAAATTGTAATTGCGTTTTAAATTTAATATAATTTTACACCTGATGATGGTTTAATAAAACCGAAACATGTTGTAACTGTTCCAATTGTAAATCGATTATTCGATATGGAACAAAGAATGATATTTTAATTATTTTAATTATCTTATTTTAAATACATTGTGATTTGACGGAATAACCAAATAATTTAATTCTAGTTAATGTAGTTTAATATATATAAATGAAATGGTCTGTAGAGGAGAGGATTGTTGTAAAAAAAAAAAAAAGCGCCTACGATGAAGGGCGATACTCGGTAATTCACACGTGTTCTTTGTACTGGTAGCCAATAGCAACACTTGTGTTGTGATTTACACAACGATTGTCTGCCAGTAGCGCCCACTGTGTTTTGTTTCACGAAGCAAAATAATTACTGTGGTTTGCGTCCGATACGGGTTGAGGCGGTCAGTTTAAGATTCTAGTGCAAAGATTACGCATTGCTCTGCCCCAGTCTTGACGATTACAAAGACGTTGGACGCATTGGACAATAGAAGATGAATATTGTTTCGGTACAATCTTTACATCTGAAAATATAATTCTTAAAGTGAAGCCTATGTTTTTAGGTTGTGTGATACCTCAGGGTTTTTTTGATTTTTTATCGAAGCTAAGTCCGCTTTTACCTTTGGTTATCGAGTACTAAGGGCACTTTCATGAAACTTCATGGCAGTCTATTAAAAATGATACTAACTTCGGCTACTATAGTAAATAGTCAATTGAATAAAAATTTTCTTGGATATTATCCATCGTCTAGTAAATATAAAACGTAAAACGACGTTTCGGAGATGGGACTCTATCTCCGTCTTCAGGTTCCTACACAGTTGGGCCCACTAGATAGAGCTAATCCCTTCACCATCGTCAAGAAGTTTTAGATTTTATATATAGTAAATAGGTTCATATAATATTCAGTAGATTTTCTTTTCCAAAAATCACTCATTACTGGTTTGTTATATATTATTTATTTCTCTCTTCAAAGTCCTTTTAATATTATCTTTAATTTCTGTTGCGATCCGTATGTATCCATCCACCGGTAAGTCAGGTCCTAGATCTTGATAGAACACTCATTAAACTAAATAGTTGTTCACAGAGACAGTCACTGCCAAATCTATTTTACGTCATAGAAAGTGACACAGTATTACAACTAAATAAATATCATATAAGCGGGCCACTGGTTGATAACCCCAGTTCTAATTTCGGTTATAGAACTTGCAGGTTTTACATTAATCTAGGCATTGGATACGAACCAGTTCCATCCACCTAATATTCTCTCTTTTTCTCGTTCTTTCAAGTGGTCGTTTACCAAGAGATTTTCCACATGAACATTTTGTATTCATTTGATGTCTCCCCCCATCTCAGTTATATTTCCAGTACGTCTCGTGGCTTTACATTTAACTTTTCTGACAGTAACAGGTGACCGGTATAAATCACAAAGTTCGTAGCCGATTTTCGTGATCGCTTTGCCTTCAAAACACGCACACTGAAATATGAAGTCAAATTCTTGTGAGGTCTATTGCCACACACACAACCAGTTTCCTTCGTCATGACGACCACGTGAATTCTATGTCTAGATTTTCGTCTGTTGGTGATAAACAATGAAATGTTAGATCTTTAATAGGAAAGTTAAACTTGTAAGCTTAATCATTTCTATAGATTCGGTTTAGAACGTGTTTTTATGTGCGAACCCAAAGTGGTTGTATGTCTAGCTGGTTAATTATAAGGTCTTAAGAATACTTTAAGATGTATTGTTCATAACGTAAACAATACAATATCACTGTTACAATTTTTGTAACAAAAGCTAAAACAATCTATTATTATTTAATATTTTATTTTATATTTTTTAAATATTTATATTTTAATATTTTATTTAATATTTTATCTGATAAGAACATTTCAATAAACTGCATAACATTGTAAATAATTGTAATTTGAGTTTTAAATTTACCAATCTAATTTATACCTGAGGACGGTTAAATATAACCGAAACATGTCGTAAGAGACGTTCCAATTTGTAAATCGATCATTCGATGCGTAACGTGAAATGATATTTTAAATATTTTATATTTTATTATCTTATTAAAATTGTGATTTGACGGAAAATATTAAAATATTAACCTAATTCACAATATGACGCAAATATACTACCTTATGAATCTATTATTATAAAATTGATTTTGACTTTAAATTTTATGAAGCTGAGATACTTTGATAATGGAGCGTATAATTTTACAGCCTTCTAAATCTGTCCGACTAAAAATTATACGTGTAACTGAATAATTGAATTGCGTAATTATTGATTTGTAGCTTTTGTCAGTCTTGTCTTAATAGGCCTGTAGTGATAAATTTTAAGACAGGATATCCGTCAAAACATTGTTAATCTTACACGTTTATATAATGAATTGTCAGGAGGCCGTTGGGGAGACATTTTCACTGATAATCTGACAGACTCAAACCTATCATTGTAGAAGACATCGAATTTAAATCGATAGATCTCTGTCGCGACACAAATAGTGTAAAGACAGTTACAAATAAACATTGGTCTCTGTTCGATTTATTTTTTGGCTGTCTCGTTGATTTATAAGAACTTTGCTATGTCAATGATAATATTAAAACCTCCTAATCCTCGCGATTTAAATTTTTCAACACGAACTCACGTGAATTCATCCGAAGACGAATTTCTAAATAGTGCATTATTATTCAGTGGGCATGTATACAAAACAGCTCTTGTTGGTGGTATAGCATTTTCTTTCTGAGTTATAAATCTAATCGCCATTTATTTATCACAACAGTGTGTACATTTTACTGCTGAAAATACTACGCCACCAAAGAGATAAATCTAACTGTGTGTAAGTGACATCTGTGGTAAGATCCCTGTGAACGTGTGGGTAGACGACTCGTGATTTAAATATGTCTGTACGTTACATATTACTTTTATGTTAATGATAACCCTTAACCGTTAGGATGGACATGTTCGTAATACGTTACATTTGACTGTATTTTAATTAGTATATTAGATCTATTTTACGAAAAACCATTTTAAACACACGTATTCTCTACTCGCCCCTTCACTTATTAATTGTCATGAAATCGAAGATGACTGTCTTCTATTACGTTGCGCCGCGTAGTCTGGTAGAAATTGATTGACGTTTCAGAGGTGCTGACTGCCTTTGTCGCTCTGGACACTGACAAAGAAGACAGAAATGATGCTGGGCTCACTTGAAAGGAAGATTTTGAGAAGAATCTTTGGACCAGTACAGGAAAACTTAAAGTGGAGGATACGTTACAATCATGAGCTATATAGACTATATAAAAGTGATTATATAGTAACTCACATTAAACTGAGAAGGTTGGAATGGGCTGGACACGTCTACAGGATGGAAGAGTATAGGAAGGAAGGAACAATATATGGGAGAAGGCCAGTGGGAAGACCTAAAGGTAGATGGCTGGATGCAGTGACGACTGAATCCAGAAATCTCCTTGGAACAGCAGCTTGGAGAAGGATAGCGTTGGATAGAGAGGATTTGAGGAAGAAGATTGAGGAGGCTAGGGCTCGATTTTGGGCTGTTACGCCATAGTAGTAGTAGTATTAGACTGCCTTTGTCTGAAACGTCGGTTAATATCTACGAGACTTTTGCGGCGAAACGTAAAGGAAGACGGCAAGTTTTAATATGGTGGCGTGTTCGTTCATTTAAGTCTCCCTTGTCATAAAGTTTTATCGTTAGAATACGTTCCGTGTTTGTGGAATGAACTTCAGATAAAGTAAAGAATTCTGGGACAGAACCATTAATTATCACCCTGCCTTTACCACCCAGACCCAACCGATTTGCAACCCAACAAAAACATACATACTGTTAACTAGAATAGCCATTAATTTCCCTGTGAAAATAATGGGACATTAAACGTAACAGTGAGAGACAGGTATTAAATTATTCAGCACCATATTGCCGCATTTGGTCTGTAATATTCAATAGAACGGAGTGTCATGTTAAACCAGCATTATGCTGCTTTATGCATACAGCATGTAGTAAGAGTGCACAATCACCTTACGTAAAGCAGAAATATCCCCCCCACCCAGGGTCTATCCTTCCTTGTTTTATAAATGATGTTTGCACAAAGAGCTCATAAAGATTAAAACTTTATAGACTTCATACTATGAACTTAGTTCCATTATGTAGTCGAGACTTTGCAATGGTAAATACGTTTACCATTGCAAAGTCAACACATGTCAGCTGTTGTGTTGACTACGTAGAGCATAAATATAAGGAATCACTGCGAACAACGCTAAAATAATTAGTAATAAAACACATGATGACGTCAGCGCGTCTTTATGGTATCGGCTTTCAGGACATCAGATATTCTGACGGGGACATATGTTTGATAAGAAGAAAGTTAATTTGTGGTTTTTATTCTGTTCATAGTGTAGTAGTCGGCCTGACACCGCTGTTCAGAGCCTTTGCCGTCACAAAAAGCCACTTTTTAGGCACCGTGTACTAGCTCAATTTCTTTACATGTCAAAATTTTTGGTCATCCTCGTCTCCGATCACGTATTATGTTAATTTTGCGATGTGATGACAGAGTGTCTGTGTGTGTGTGTGTGTGTGTGGAACTGTGGCCGGTGACGGGCAGTTTGTCCACCCCCAGATAATGCACAAGTCAACGTGAAGCAGCTGTGGAATAATACAGACTCGGAGAAAAACCCGTTCTGGTGTCATTTTGTCCATTGCAAATCTCACATGGACTAACTTGACCTCGAATCTGGGTCTCCGTGATGTGAAGCCGTCGACTAACCGCCATATCCATGACACACGGCCTTGCCTAAGTTGCAGTCCACGTACGTATATTTATTTATTTATTTTTTACTGTTTTATTTGCCTAATATGTAAATATATGTGCGAGAATGTATTCGTAAGTCTGATAAGCGTCGGTAGATGGCAGCACGTTGTAGCATCGCTGGGGTTTCAAAGCGGCATTTGCCTTGGTGACTTCCAGAAACACGCAATGCCCTTGGAAATCCCAAATGTGCACAACGCATATCTTCATACACGACCGAAATAAGTATCGATCGTCGAAATTAATCACGAGTTGGTGTATTATAAACACAAAACAGAATATCGTCGGAGAAATGAGTGGACTGTAAGGAAAATCTTTACCCCTACTAGGGCTGTTACTGGTGAAACAAGGAAGTAAGAGTTGCTAGACTCAAATACTGTGTTTCTTTCTTTATTGTCAGCGTCACAATCATGCGTTAAATCGTGTTTTCCAAAAATAATACTCTCCATTACATCTGACAGAGAGTAAAGTCACTATAAAAATGTTAATTGTTATTGTTTATAGTGTTGAATTTGACTTCGTTTTGATATGTTAAAAATCTTGTGTAAGTGGCGCATTCTCTCGTTTGCCAACCGAACGATAATTCCGCCAGCTACCCGAGGGTACGCTGTATACCACGTAGTTAGAGAAGGCAGTGAGAATTACAATAATTTTTTCATTCGACAATTGAATGGATTCTGTTCCGTTGAACCATATAAAAAACGAAGTATAGGAAGATAATCCATGGATTCCCGACGACCACATGCAGACACCCTGTGGTCCTTGTCGTAATTCAATACCTCGCTTTACGCGCCGATAACTGTAATTTTATAAAGTTCGGAGAGCATCTGCGAGAAGCAGATTAGAGGTTTTAAGGGGAAACTCAGCGATTCGAGAAATGGTATTTCAGCACATGCGTCATATAAATTGCCTGTGCGGAGCGTGGACGGAGAAATTGATCCGAAGCTCAGCACAATGTTCATCGTTGTCTGTCCATTGTTGTTCCCAGGACGCGTACGTAACTTGCAACAAAAGGCAAATTAAACTATCATCAGAGGAATTCTTTGCATTGTACACGTTCTGGTCTTAATTATGGCTTCGTCAAACTTTCATAATGAATAGGACATTTTTTGTTCCTTAAAAAATATGCACAGAATTTTTGTATGTGCTATTAAAATGTAATTAAGTTTTTCTTTCACAATTCACTTTTTAAGTAAATTATTTTTACTACATTTTGACATCTTTCTAAGCTGTGTTTTTAAAGTGTATCTGTTATATTCTGATTTGTTCTAGGCTGTAATAATGATGGGTTACACCACAACAATATAAAACTGATAAACGTTTTTGACCTTGGTACATTTTTAAAGCTTGTTACGTTGTTGAATTACACATTAATAGCTAAATACCGAGTTTAATTCCCTAAAAATGTTTCAGTTAAAGTTGTTTTTCTATGTGGGATCAGTAGTTTAGGTTATGTATCGATGTCTAAAATAAAATTTATCGTAAAGATTCTCCTGTCGACCATCATTACTAAATTTATTCGAAATACTTTAATTCGATGCTCCTACATTTGGCCTATGCGAATTTGACAGCTTTAGATCAAACGCGCAGAGTTGTATTAACAGGTTAAATACTTGCATTTTGAGAACGATTATATATATTTTTTTATTTGTGGTCATTTCCAAAATTCTATTTTATTGGTCATCCGTACTGAGCAGAGTTCAGGAAATTTTTGGCAGTGCTGTACACGACAAATGTGGGCTGGGGATGTGGAGAGGGGCTTAGCACCCCTTTTCAGTGAAATAATTGAATACACCCTCAACTTCCAACCCCCCGCAACCCCCCCTCAACCTGTTGCTTTACGCAGACTCGTGGGATGTAACCCCGTATAAAAACGGGGATCTCAAAGGCGTTGCGTGGGGTGTTGTGTGTGGCGGTCTGCAGTCTGAAGACATACCAGGAGCAGCTGTCTTGGTGTCGAAGTGAAGTGTCTGTCAGGTCCGGAATTAATCTTTTCACTACAGTTAACTGTAATCTGTAAAATTTATTTTTTGAACTTTCTTAAGCTGGACCTGCGGGTATAGACCAGGTCTGAGCTAGATCAACCGAGGGGCCCAACAGATAAGATATCCGCCCTTTTTCGTCTTACCTGAGGGCAAATGAGGACCCAGCTTCCAGAAGTCGTGTTTTTATTTGTTTCTTTGGGTCACAGACAAAACCAAAAATAACAATTACAGATTACAACTCTCAGCGTCAGAAACCTTTACACTTCATCTACAGTTAATTAACTTTAAAATCTTGTAGTTACTCAGCTGGATCCTATACTGAGCCAGTTGAATCCAGATCACGATACTTTTTAGTATTATCCTCCCGTGTTATATTCCGTAAACTGTCTCTTCCCTTGAGATTTCCCTATCACATTTGTGTATACATTTTGGTCTTCTGTGTTCTTAGAACTACTAGTCTCAACATTAAATACCATGAAAATGAGACTGGAAGAATTATTAGGATTCAACGATGGTTTGTTTATGACTTAAGGGACTCAGAAAAATAAATAAACTGCCAGTAATTGCAAAATTGTAGTCTTTAAGTCTGTGATGAAATGCGTACAGTTGTGGACAGTTTGCGCGCGTGTGCATAATTACGTCTAATTATCGTGTCCCGTTCGCTGAGATTTACATGTCTGAGTATAAATTAGTGGAGTCTGTCTTCGTGTTTCTAAATTTGAATGAAAAACATGAAGAGTGTAATGTGAATATACTGAATAAATCTCTCGTCTTCCTGTTTTATAGTATTCCTGGAGTTCTTTTGTTTTTCGTGATTTTTCTCCGGCCTCCTAGTCAAAATGCCGTCATAATACTGTTGTGCCAGTCCAGGTCCGTGGTTCAATTCCCGAACGGACTGAAACTTGAGATGAGGAGTAAACTAGACTTTGGCATATTAATCTGGTTTATATGAACGAAGGAGGTGTGATTAGATGATACTTGGTACACCTCACTTCATCAAAATTTGAGTGATTTTATTAAGTTTTGGCTTTGTCCAATGTATCACATTGGGAAAGAGAGTGGCGCCATCCTGGCGTGTGAAAGTCTCTTCCCCCAACATTCGGTTTAGTGACCGTTGGTTTGGGGCGCCCTAGTAGGTGTGAAGTGACGATTGCCAGATGACCGCTGCTCCACTACGACTCGGACCAATGGAATTTGAATGTGGCTGTTCGGCACGTTTCCGACGTCATAAGTGACTTTTTGGGGGACGAATCGGATTGTCATATTCAATTCAAAATTCAAAAACTGTTACGATCAGGGAATATAAAAAGCGAGGTTGCGTTGGGGCTCGCTCTCTAAAAGTTCGGTTCTTAAAGGCAAGCAGACAGTTTCTCCTCGATTCATTAAACTTCAAGATCAAAATACAACAGCCGAATCATCGCGCTGCCCAAAAATAAGAATAACTTGTTAAAAGGAATTAAAAGGTGAAATATTTCCAAGGTGACTTTGGTGTGGTCTGCAGTTTGTCATCCCCACAGATTTCACGTCCTTGGCGCACGGCCGCTCCAACTATCACAGTCCCCGTATAATCCCTGAGGGTCGGAAAATCTTGCTCGCCGACAAACCTTACCCCAATTATTATCCCTTATATCCTTCCGCATTATATCAAGCTGTAACCGCGAGCAAACCGGGCACGCTACTGGGTTTGATCCCGGGGCAACCAGAGTGAGAAGAAAAACAGTCAGCGGAAGGGCGGTTGCACTACCTTAAATATTACCACGATTGTTTACTTGCAAATATTTTCCAATTTAATATTAATTAATTATCATGTCATTTAAATAAACCGTAAACAGAAAATAATAACTCTGTTTCACTTTTCAGCAAAAGGACTGAATCTCTCTGACTCTGTGTCTCTTTGTCATTATCAAGCAAAGAGCATCAGAAGCTGAACATTGCATTTGGTCCAGAGAGAGTATCGTCGAGGCGAGCATGTATCCGTCTTTGTTAGAGAGAGTCCACAACTCCAAAAGAATGTTGGTGGTCGTCGTGTACCTTTCAATGTTTCTGGACAACATTCTTCTTACAGTTGTTGGTAAGTAGTGTTACAATACAATTAAAGCAGCGATCAGCCGTGTATGAATGGAGTTTTCGCCTCAGAAAATACTACAATGCATTTAGTTTCCATGAAAGCTTTAAATCTTCACTAAAGACGTAATACATGCCAAGAAGTACGTATCGTGTGTGAATGCTAAACAGTCTCAAGTACAGTTTAATATATTTTTTTCAAAATAATCTTTGTAATTTAGAAACTATTGAAGATTTGTCTGGCCGTTACATAAAAATGTAAGTTAAGAGATAAGTTTATACTGAAGTTAACAATGACAATTATAAAAACATAATATCTTGTAACAATGTGTCATTATTTAACGTTCATATAAATTACAAGGAATGGAATACCAGTCTGTAATCAACAGCTATAACATCGTGTCTGACTGGATCATTTGGTTCACTGGCATGGCTCGAATATTTATACTAATCATATCTTGATACAATGCACCATTTTGTGTAAAACCTTTTCTTTTCTGTTTCTCTTTTGCAGTCCCCATAATTCCCTATTACCTTTACGCTTCAGATCAAGAAAAACACGTTCCAACAATGCCACCGTACTCAGAAAAGAGTTACACAGTGTTGCCAAACAAGGAACCAGCACTTACAAACGTCTCCCCTCTTCTGCATTGTCAGGGAAATTCTGTTCCATCAGACGTGCCAACCGAAATACATTCTGCTCCAGAAAAGAACCTTCACAAAGAAAAAATATTAACAATGAGAAACGAAAGGTTTGTCTGGAATCACAGCATGGCACCTAAAGATCATGATCGGCCATTTGGTGTCCAATATTCACGCACGAGAAAACAAAGAACATCTAGACCATATAAGAGGGAGGTAAAACACGAAGATAAATACAGAAATATTGTTCAATATGCTAACAGTGATAAATATGTGCTGTCAAATCCCAAGTTTGAGAAATCTGACCCTATTGAGCAGTTTCAAAAACATAAAAGTTCACATGGTAATTCATTGATTGGAGATCATAATATATCGCCTACAAATGACAAGAAATTATTTGGACATGAGAAAGGACGAAAGGAAGAATCAAAAATACAATTTAAAGGAAAGCTAGAATTTTCACAAAATCGTATAGCAAGAAAAATCACGCAGAATGATTCCAAAAATATAAAGAATTTAATGTTACCTGATGATGTATATTCCCGAAAAATCCCAATTGAGCACAACAGGACTGGTGATAAATCTGACGATACAGGACAGCAGTCTGTCTCAAACGATCGGAACACAGATGCGCTTACAACATCTGAGCCAAGCAGCAGCAGCTGCAACTTCAGGTACAGTACATTTCACATCGAGTGTTAACACGAGAAGCTACACTTGATTTCAGTACAGTATATACAAAAGTAGACAACGCTCACTGGAGGTTTGCTGACAACACAAGTATTGCAGATTAAAAAAGTACAGCTTGTAACAAATATAACAATTTTGGAGGAAGAATTAATTTAACAAAGAAACAGTAGCTCAGGATAATGGCGTGGCAGGTTAGGGTTGACAACCATCTCCCTGTTCACACATCGCTTTTTCGACTGTTAATAAATTAATATAAATTCATTTTAATTAAAAATGTTTTTTTCATGCGTTTATGTTACATCATACTGGTTCAGAAACGTTGCTTTATGGGACAAAGAGATTACCTCATAATTATTAAAAATATAAAATAATCACGTTGTTCACTTCTGTCCATTGATGTGAATCGTTTTTCATTTCAGCACTGACGTTAGACTGCAAGATGTTGGTAGCTCTGGGGCAGGCTTCATCTTCACCCCCCGCGGTGTCATCGAGGAGAATGGGCGTGTTGGTCTGCTCCTGTCATCCAAGGCTTTGGTTCAGCTGGTGATGAACCCAGTGGTCGGAGCCGTCACTGCCCACGTGGGCTACCATCTGCCTCTCTTCATCGGTTCCATCAACCTTCTAGTGGCTGCACTGTGTAAGGGCACTGAATGCTCACATTTTAAGGGAAGAATTTGTATTGAGGTCATTGTGATCAGAGTAATCTGAGAGGCATTAACTGACACAAAACGGATTAAAAATTACATAATGAGGAATCTTGTAATTTTTATTATTTAGTCTTCTAGATACTGTGTCGTGTACACAGGAAATTCTTGTCTATGCGGTGTTGCCTTTTTGCATCGCGTTTACAGAAAATACATAAAATGGATTTTATGAGAAGTCATGTTAAAACTGAGTACAAATGTGTAATTTTAAAGACTGTCTGTGTCCCCCACATCAATATAAAGACTTAAAAAGAAATAAAGAATGGTTTATGTTCTGTTTTGTTTCAGTGTTTGCATTTGGAGAGCGTTTCATGGTACTTCTGCTGGCTCGCAGCCTGCAGGGCATAGCATCAGCATGCATAAGTGTATCAGGTAGAGCCATCTGTTTTGTATTCAAGACACTACAGCTATTACCCAAAATCCGATGCTATAATGAGGATGTTCAGTCGTGTTCTCTTGTTATTTAGGAACACAAGCGCGTTAGTTAAATTGATGATGATGTGAACATGTTAATTTGTGTAAGAGATACCGATCCAAGTCATGCTAATCCGTATGTAACTTGAGATTATTCTTGTGGACAGGAATGTGCCTGGTAGCAGAGCAGTTTCCAGACGATGTGGTTCGAAGTAGGGTTATGGGTGTCGTTCTTGGGAGCATGGCTCTCGGGGTTCTTCTGGGATATCCATTTGGTAGCCTCTTATACGATTTTGTTGGGAAAATGGCACCATTCCTCATTATTTCAGTCGCTGTTTCCTTAAATGGAGGTAAGTTTCTTGTAATTTGTGTGTGTGTTTGCAAGATACATTAACATTTATGAATTATAAAAAAAAATAAGACTTACTATTGCAGATTAAGTAACAAACATGTGATTTATTTGTTTATTTATTTGTGGCTTTTTTAATCTTTATATGCTGAAAGGGACATCTGTATTCCATGAAATGTGTTTCTAGTTGGCTACATGGGTCTATAATGTGCTGTTACATCCTGATATATTGAGAAGCACTTGAACAAAAGACATTAATGTGTCAAAAATGCTTCTCTTACATTATCGAAGATCCATCTGTAATCAAATTGTCCACTTGGGTTTTCTTAGAGTAATGAATCTCCTCCGTCTTCAACCAGAATGTTTGTAACCAGCCGCAAGAGTACGCAGTGTCACAACCCAGATATACCTAGAGAATCAAAGAATATGTAATTAAATCTAATCCTGAATAGTTCATAATAATTAAGATGATTAAGATAGTTCTCCTAGCTGTCCTATTAGTTTAAATTAAGTAAGATCATTATAGTAAGAGTTTTTATAACATTTATAAAGTTATTTTCTATTCCAGTTCTGCAGCTGTTCCTTCTTGATCTCAAACCAGTTCCTGATGTAAGTTAATGTCACATGTCAGTCATTATCCTCTATTATATTGCAGTAGGGGATTTATACCCTGTATTTCTGTAACTGCGTGTTACGGGAACACATGACGAGATGGACGCCACATGAGATGCGTTGCATGGCCAGTAAAGGTCAAATGAGCGACTTTGTTTAACAACTGGGTATAATATTGTATATTATGTTACTGCATTTTGTTGGGCAGTAATCTAATGTTTTTGTTAGAATTTGTTTCCTTCCGATATTTATAAGATTTCCGGGCAAACTGCTCAATTTTTGTAGTCCCTAACCAATATCAGGATCAAGTTTCTTCCAATTACTGTCTTCCTCAGTTTAATATTTAAATCTATTGCTTATTATAAATCAGTAAATTAAACTGCCTGTAAATGATATCTCTGATAAATTGTTTCCGTGATGAATTCAATGGTACGGCAAAGGAATAATTTCCTTCATCTTGAAAAACAGGATGATTCTAAAGACATCCCATGTCTATTCACAGGCCTCGGTTTAGTTTAGGACAAGTGAATTACTTTTTTTCTTCTGTCAAGAAGAGATGGTACTGTTTCCCCACTTTCCATCCCCTCTGACAATAATCATCAAATATTCATTTTTAATTTCCGTCACTCTGAGACATATTAACCGTAATTTTTCAGCGCCTAATCGTAAGTACCAGCTGGCACCGACTTCTGTCAGACTGTCACGTTGTCCTGATCGCTGGTGCTATCTGGGTCTCCACCTCGACTATGGCAATCCTGGAACCGTGTATGCCTATTTGGCTCATGGAAAACATTAAACCACAGGTAAACAGACCCCCCCCCCTTTCCACATCAGATAAAATGGCAGTAACACTCTGATTTTGTATTCAGGAAGTACCTGGTTTGAATCTTGTCCAGGTTACCTGCCGTCCTGAATAAAGTATTTTATTGTTTTCCTCAGTCTCTTCGAACAAATTATTTAAAATAAGCCACTAGTGCCTCTTTCTAAATCATTACGCAGTCACGTGTCGTGTTCATCATACCGTTATGTTGCCACAAAAGTTTGGTAGCCAAAATAACCAGAGACCTCGTAAACTTCGGAGGTTACAGCGACGTTGGCGTAACTTAACGTAGGATCCGAGGACTGAGTGCAAACATTTCTGTTGGTGCTTACAGAAGTGGCAGCTGGGGATGGTGTTTATTCCTGACAGCGTGGGTTATCTTCTGGGTACTAACTTCTTTGGCCCTGTAGCATGTAACCTGGGTCGCTGGCGTGTCGCTGTTTCTGCACTGATGCTTGTTGGGATCTCTACCGTACTTGTAAGTCAGCTGTTTCATATGTCTTAAGAAAGAAGATGGCTTGAAACTTCTGTGTCATTTGTGTTACATTCACACATGTCTGAAAATGAGGAACTTTGGCATATTTATAGGCATTTACCACAGAAATCTCCATCTGAAATTTTGCCAAGTTTTATATTTGTTAACCCTTCAAGAGTGACTTTGGTGTTCTATTAGTATGCTTCTTAGGTTGACTTTAACACTTACGTTACTGAGAGATCACCCGAGTAGACGCACACGTGCAGTTATTTGTATGTGGTGCTGTGTAAAATCGCCAAAGTCATCATACTTAACGAGAAAAATCTTTTCTATATTACGCACATTCTGGTTTGTGACAAACTGTTCTGAAAGAAAATCAGATTGAATAAAATAAAATAGGTAGTTCAGTTAGGCCTGTAACTGGGTCGTATTGTCCTTGTCATCCAGAGAACTGAATCATTTCTGTTTGTGTACAGGTGCCCAGTGCTGCCAGCGTCACTCAGTTAGCTGTTCCTCACTTCGGTCTAGGACTTGGAATCGGCGTGGTAGACGCTGCGCTGGTACCACTGTTAGCCAGTCTTATGGACTCCCGATACGCTGCACACTACGGCTCTGTCTACGCGCTTCAGCAGATGGCCGTCAGTCTAGCTTATTCTTTAGGTATAAAGTTCCTCCCTGCAATTCCTAATGCTTTTTCACGCCATTTAATTACAGCTTATCCTGACTCAAGATCACCAATTAATTTAAATGTCATTAAATCATTATTTGTTGCTACTTTAGCATAACATTGGCCATTTTACTTCACTGAAGTCTCTTAGATGTGATGAAATATTAACATAAACTATTTATTTAAACTTTTTCTGTTCAATTTATATTCATATAATCTCATTAAATTATCCCGTGTCGGGTATTGCGAAGTCTGATGCACTGTAGCTATGCTACATATGTCCCATAATACTGAAATAGTGGGTTTTCATTGACTAGCAACAATTTCTGTCAGTCTTCCACCCATTTCGCTTTTCTAAAACACTATCTTCTTCTTCTTCTATGGCTCTCCGGTTCGTATTCGGCCCATGGCTTCCTCAATTCTCCTCTTTCATTCGGTCCTCTGTTAGGTCCGTCTGTCCGAGGCTTTGAAACATCTTCCTTTTTACGGTGCAAGGTTGTTAGCCTTGCGACCAACCCCCAACCTGGAGGACCAGGGTACCTGTCTTAGTCTGACCTCTCCCCCTCGACCAATCTGGCTAGGGAGGCCCTACGAGTAGCTCTTGGGGTCACTGAGGTACTCGAGCCCCACCACCACGACAAGGTGCAGGTACCATTAAGTGGGGCTAAAACACTATAGATGCATAAAAAATAATTTTGGAAATAATTGTGAAACATGGTATTTTACTGAAGGGAAAAACATAATTATAAGTGTTTGAAAATAAAGTGTTCGCTAAGATACTGTCATCTTACATGGAAAAATTAGTGTAAAATGTAAGATATTACATAATAATGAACTTTATAGCTTCTGACAATAGTATCGTTAAGGTGGCGAGACCTCTTAGACTGCAGTGGGCTGGTCATGCATCTAGAGCAGGGAAGACAAGAAAAGCAAATAGAATTTTGATGAGGAAATCGCTTAGTAAATCACTGTATAGTATTAGCATTGGTAAACTTTTGGGATTTGAAACTAAAGTCAGTCAGTCAGTCATTTAGTTATATGGTTTGTTAGTTAGTTTAAACCCATAAAATATTTTCAGAACAAAGACTGTGTACTATCATATTGCAGGCCCTCTTGTTGGAGGCGAGATGGTGCGTGCTATTGGATTTCCTTGGCTTATGCGATGTGTTGGACTCCTAAATCTGTTGTACTGTCCGCTGCTT